ACCAGCCGCTTGCCTTGTCATCTGAGCTATCCTAGAATTTATCATAAGCTCAATAATCAATAAAAACTTGTGTGAAAACCTATCAGCACTCCCGATCGCAACTCTAGCTCCGTCAAGGTCCTGTAGGAATGATTAATTCATTCATCGTTGTTTTACATGAGATCAATGTTATCTCTTCGCATTTCCAATTCCAAGGAAAGGATGCTCGGTTATTTTTTAAACTAGATCAATGCATTCATTGTCGTGAGTCATGTGATCGATGATTACTATTTAAATTAATTAGGCATAGAACACAAATAAAGAAAAGGGTTGAACCTGGGCTTGAACTCACTTCTACTTGGAAAGCGGAAACGGTAACCACTACTCTACTAATTTCGTGTTGTTGTTAATATTTGTAAAGGAATGCAATCAAATCTAAAAATGGAGCTAGAAAACATTTATTAAACGTCTAATAAAGTATGTTATTAAATCAATTGAAAACAATTGAATTAAAGTGTCAATGTATGTGCAAATTACACTTATTCAGTTTGTTATCAGATCTGAATCTGAATTGTTTGTTGGGAGGCGTCTGCTTATTAGTTTACTTATACATTTTATGAATAATCAGCAATAGAAATTTGCCAAAAGGTATAAGGAGATTTTTATCCGTGTAGTGTTAGCTTTTCTATTGATGATTCAGTGTCAACAAATTATGCCAAATTAGGCCTTGACATTTCATTATCGTGAATCGACATCTACATCACAACAGTTCAGGGTTTAGACTCGAGATCAAATTAGGTGGCGCCTAGGGTGGCGCTGAAGAAGTGACGTGTTTGAATTTTACTGTGGGACACATACAAATCTCAATTTTAGATGGTCAGAAAATGTCACTTTGACTATATGTTTTAGTATTACCATAGAGGTAACTCTAAGACCACTGGGTCCCGAAGAAAATCATTATTATTTTTGGCTCACTCAGTACCAGAACAACGGTCCCAAGCAGTCCCAAGCTATTTCACTCACCCCTGCATGTTCTGCATGAATCCACACACCCCTGATGTTATCTGTCAAACTTTCATAGCGAATCAAAACAAACATAGTGTAGTAATAGAATTTCAACTAGAATGGGGTATGCCATAGAAGTACTTGGGACCAATAGGCTACTCAAGCAGTGAATCAATTTAAAATCGTTAGTTTCGTATTGATTGTGTGAATTCAACGATTTACATAGTTGAAGATGCTAATTTCAAATAACAGACTGTAGTGGTAATTTTTATACGATAGATGGAGTAGATGAAAGTGTAGAGTTGATAGTTCCGTTAGAGTACGGCAGTGTGAAAATTGCATATAGATAGTAGAATAGCGAGCTAGGACAACTTTTAAGGAAGGTACAAATCGGTTTTTTCATCTCTCTTTACCAAACTCTCCCTTAGCTCGCTATTCTACTATCTACATGCAATTTTCACACTGCCGTACTCTAACGGAACTATCAACTCTACACTTTCATCTACTCCATCTATCGTATAAAAATTCCCACTACAGTCTGTTGTTTGAAATTAGCATCTTCAACTAAAGAAAATGTCAGTTTATCGAATCAATATACGATAAATCTGTTTTAATTGTTTGCATCTAAATCCATCTACTCACATCGCTCTCCATTTTTTACAGGAAATCTTCAAAATCTCCATGAATCGGAATTTTGCTTCGGTGTTTCTGTGATTTAAATTAAAAAAAAAATGGAATTATTGGATCTAAGAGTGGACATCCGGAGGTTCATAGTGATAATGCTGCAATAACGGCGCGATAATTCCGATGCACTTCTTCTCAAGGCCAAAGACAAGGGGAAACGGATTTTATTATTATCAAGATCAAGTAAATGGTTCGCCATTTAGGAAAACTATTGATCTTAAGCTAAGGAATCACGAGGAGGCTGGCTAATTGCAGATCATTTGGCTGGGACCCTTCCTTTTTATTTGTTTACATTATATTTCAATCAGAATTCATCAAAACTTTACCAAATTGTGTCCCAGCATTTAAATTGAGGAGCTCACCTAGCTTGGCAGCTGCCGGTTTTGCTTACTGAGTAGAAGATCGTGGGTTTACTCCCAAGTAAACAAGTACGATGGTCACAAAACCTGCTTAAGCGAATCCTAACCCATCTCCTGCCTAACTATCCAACTCCGTAGCATCTATGGGGATAGTAAATGTTACATCAACAATATCCTTCGTTTCCCCGTAACGGAGCAGATGGGCGTGGCCGTTAATGGTATTTATCATACTTTTCCAGTTCTGAACTTTGATTGGAGAGCTTTTCACTCCCAAAAAGTTTTTCTTAAGAAATCAGAATAAACCATAACCCAGTTAGTAATGGAACAAACTCTTTTTCTTATTACTGCACTCCTAGTGGACGTTTTCAGAAGCTTTTGACGTCTATTTGTTTAAAACAACAATAACAATAACGGTGCTTTTTCAGTTCAAAACGATCTTGTTTTGGAGACAGTCACCATGCAAGAGGAGCGTAGAAAAAAGTCGTACACAGTCACCTGGAAAATCCATCGTGGTTCGCGTCCAAGCTGGCTACAGCGTTGAATTAGCCTAGAAACACCGGACTACGCGTGCTCAAAATGTGCAAGGAAACCTTGACGACGAATCGGAAGCCTCAAAGTAAACGCCGGAATGGAACGGCCAACCGTGAGCTCCATGGAAAGGTCGTGAGGTCCATCAGACGCAACCCAGGTATGTTCGATCGCGATTTGAGTAAAAAGTATGAACCACCCATAGTACAGTGCAGCAAATTCGTTACCGCGAAGGCTTACAAGCATACCGCGCCAGTAGGCAACCAAATCGATCACTCAAGCAGAATATCGTAGCTACAACCCGTGGTCGAAAGCTGTATGATAACCTGCTGAACAAGTCCGGTGGGTGCATACTTATGTATAATTAAACCGACTTCGGTTCGGACAGGTTCCAGGACCAACATTTGATAAGGCGAAGGCTCGAGGAGGTATCCCTGGCAGATTCAAATTTTTTATTGCGGATAAATTCGCACGCAAATATATTTTCTGGCAGAGAATTTGCAGCTGCGGCCAGAAGACAAAGGTTTACGTCACTGAAAAAATGATCAACTCGGAGGTTTACAAAACCGAATGTCTCCAGAAGCGCATTCTGCCCCTCATCCAGTCACATGATGGTCCGAAGACATTTTGCCCGGATCTTGCGAGTTGTCATTACAGCCGGGAAGTACAAAAATGCCAAAATGACAATGGATTCCAGTTTGTTCCGAAAACCCTCAATCTGCCCAATTGTCCCCAGTTGTGCGCCGCTTGATGGGTCACCCTGAACTGTTTTTTTTTTTGCTTTGCATTGCTTAATACCATGCTTTAACTGACTATAGGATATTTGAGGCCTAATATCAAAACTTAATTTCTTTAAAAAACTGCCTTACTGTCACTGCTGTCAATCGAATATAAAATTGTTTCATTTGTCTTTGTGATATTTAGGTAACAAATAATGTTATTCAAAGCACAGTAATAGTTTTGTTGTCACATAAATCTTCAATTGTATAAAACATTCCGTTCCCAAGAGATTATGCTAGTCCGAACATAGAAATTTGCACACACACTTACAAATCCCATCCTCAAAAAAAAAAAATCAAGTTGTATTCCCGCACGTGCTCAGTTACTCAGGAGGCTTAATCGATCCAAACACGCATCAGCGCAAAATACCCAAATGCCAAACAAAACTCCCAGAAAGAAATTGTTTTCATCTTTCATCTCTCCAACATCACGCACAGCTCGGTCAGTTTCCGCCACGCGACCCACACGAGCAAATAGGCCGTAAATCAATTGGATTGAACTTGACTGCGGCTCGGTCGGGATTTTGCGAATGCTCTCTCTCTCTCTCTCTACCTCAACTATTCACCGGCATTGCATCAACCGAGATGTCCTACCAGGCCAGATTGAGTGGCTATCGATTTTCCGACCCGGAAAATCTCCGTTTCACACGTAACTCACACAGAGAAATTCACTATACAGCGGGGGAAACCGGTATCCAGCTTCCTCACTGGATGCGCCTATTGACGCGGCATTTTCCAGTGCGCAGATCCTCTGCTCATCCGATATAACACGGGCCTATAACTATAGATCGAACCGGTATTGTCTCCACCGCACCAGACACCGGCCACGTGCAAATCTGCTAAACTTTCCAAACTCTGCAGTGGGAAGAAAATCCACCGGCAGTCAATCCATTTAAATGTCATTAGACGTTATATTCCCTTTTACGATTTTTGTTTTGGTCGCAGTTAAGGAGTGGCTCGTTTCATTATCACCCGTCCGCCTCGCTCGCCTCGACAGGTTGACTCATCCAACGGCTATTCATACAATAGCCAGTTTCTTCCCGTCTCGCTACTTCTTTCATTCTCCTCCATCTTGAAAGCAGCTTGTCGTCTTGTGACTGTCTTCGTCAGATGTGGCTCTAGATAATTTCACGGTGTTCAATGAGATCACAAATTAAATTTGTAATGTTGGACAATATTCCTAGTTGATTCGAATCTATTGGTCGAGATGATTGATGTATTTTAGCTGGTATTTACTGACTGATTAACGGCTTGTTGCCACTCATGACATCACACACTTCATCACTACCACCGCTGTAGTGGAAACTTCACACCAAGGTGATTCGTAATAAATAAAACTTTGTCTTGTTCACGCCATAGATGATAAGCACTGATGGAGGAACACACCCATTTCCCTGAGGCACGTTCCAGTCACGCGAGTTGATAAGAACAGCGCCAAAAAGTCTGCTCCCAAGCGGACTCTTATCAATCTCGGTCATATTTACAAACATTGCGTCCACCCGGGGTTCAAGTGGTTCGGGAAAATTGCTACTACAAATCCCGCCGCTGACGAACGGTTCTGGGGTGGGAATGCCACCATCACAGACAGACTCACGGCAAGAGACAGAAAGAGAGAGGGCAGGGCTGGGCCCTCGCCCGATTTCACTGCTGATGACGAATTTCTAACCTGCATTCGCTGGCCGCATCCCGCTGCCGAGACATAATGCTAACACAAATCCTAACACTAGATGCATCTTGGACCACTTGTTGTAACGTTACGCGTTGCACATTTGGCCGAAGCGACTCGATCCGTTCGGCCAAATTCTTACTGAATGCAACTTTAAGAATTAAAAATAAAGCACTCTGCCACTGTTGCTACTGCCCCGACAAAGCAGCCACACGCACACTACGACTGTACGGTACACACGCGCGCACTCACACAATCCTGACAATAGATGGAATGTGTGCGGAGCTCCGAACAGAGCGTTCCGTATGGTTCACTTCCCAATTGACGCGTCGTCGTGTTCGTCGTTAATGACACTTCTAACCGCCGCGGCGTCCGATCTCATACTGAATGCGAGAGGCAGATGTTGAATGAACCAAACTGGTTGATGAATCGACGACGATGTGCATATACGACTATGATGAACGTGTGTGTGTGTTGGTGCGAGCGGGCGAAGAGATGATGAGGAATTGGAAGAGAATTTTCGACTACGGCCCGGGAGTATAGCCGTTACATTCGAGACACATGTTCATTGCCGGGGAATCCGAATTTGGACCCAGTTTGCAATGGTGACTGTAGTTCTTTCTAGGGGGCTTATTACGGATGTCACTCCACGGTGAAAACTTGTCACTTGTCGTCACGGTGAAGTGATTCCCATTTGATTTGTACGGCAATCACGTTTCTTATTATGAGTATCACTTCCTTATCCCCGTGTAGTGACACCCGTAATAAGGCCCTAGGCTTATTTGTCTTTGTCTTACTAAACCAGCACGAGCACCACTAATATCGATCAAATTAAGTGCATTTATTTCAATTTTTAACTTTTATAGTAGGGGAAATGGATGTAAAGTCGACCTAAATGCCCCTAATTTGGGCCCATACCTAAATTAAGCAATCGACTAAATTTTCAATGATGACCAAAAATATCCATTAGTACCGTCCCAATAACGCGTTCATCTAGATAAAATTGATAAATTGCAGATTTTAAGCGATAAGCCCAATCTTAGATCCATAGGCCAACATTAGAGCCATTTCCCCTAGTCCAGTTTTAGATGCAAATAACAATTAATAAATGAGTTTCATACTTACCTCAGTCAAACCATAGAGGTAACTCTCAAACTGCTTGTCTTGAAAACACTTGGAAATTTACATCTTCAGGTGAGGCGTCCTTAGCTTGATTTGTATAAATTATTCGGATACAGTTTTAGAAATTCGTTAATTCAATGTGATGTTATTGCAGCAACGATGGTTAATGATTCTTTCTTGCGTGTGTTCATAATCGTCAGGTGGTTTTTTATAATTTTCAAAGTTATTAGTCAATGTCAATTTGCTTGTCGTCTTTCATCTGGTGATATTTTGTAGGTCTTGAATTCTGGGAACAAGCGACTCGGGGAATACCAATAACTCATGTCCACGTTCCTGTAAAAATAAAACTAGTATTATAAAGTTATTTTGGTGCAAAATTGGTATAGTATCATAACAAATATATTTGAACAAAAGCTTAATTAAACCAAAACTTGAACGCAGTGTAAAACCAATCGGTGGAAACTAACGATTTTAAACACTGGACTAGACTATCGGTCCCAATGACATCGATTAACGTACCCCATTCTAGCCGCAATTCTAGTACTACCACGGGGGTAACAATCAAGCATATCGTCGTTGCTCACATCAATGTGATGAATATAGGGGTTAGGATGACTGCAACAGACTCTCGAACAGACTACCAAGGGCTGGTGCCCCGTAACGTGGGTAGATCACCTTTTCGTGGTACGTTACGGGATGTAAGATCTACCACCGATTCCTAGTCCTGACTACTTCAAACTAGGGGAACAGGGTTTTTCAGTAATCCAAGGAACACATCTTAGTCCTTGTTGCTTTTTATGCCTTGTTGATAGTTCCAAAACTCGGCTTTGTCCACCGAGGATGAACTTGAAACAAGGAAAAATGAGTTAGTTAGTCTTCATCTATGTGATTCCTTATCTTCTATTCGTTGTTCCCTAGCTTGAAGTGGTTAAGACTAGGGTTCTGATGCATGGTCATTATCGGTGTCATACCTTAAATTTGTTGCTAAGGAATCCAATTTTGACTGACAAAGGGGCGCGCCTTTGGAGGGTGTTTCAACACTTCGAAGGGTATAAATAGCGGGACCTTTCAATTAGAGTCGGATCCTGGCGATAAATGCAAGAGTGGCAACTGTAAAAAAATCGAATACTTCATCATTTCTCAATAGTGATGGAGTAATACGACATGCACTAAACTAAAGACACGGGATATACTACAATAGATCAATTTTACTGGTCGCAGTAGTGTTAGGTCCCGAACAGAGGAAAAAAAAAGGGCTGGTAGCGACCACTGCTGTCAAAAATAGTGATTTTAGTGACCATGTTGAAGAAATAAGTGACCAAATAGTGACTTATAGTTGTAAAAATAGTGACTAAAAAGTGACCTAAGAGAAAATAAATGTTTAATGTTTTAGACTTATTCAACAAGTATCTCATAAACACTTATGTACGATATGAACCTTTAAAACGCAAGATTCATTAGAAAGTTTATGGCCAAACCAACGGTTTTAGCACAAACGAAGTGACAGACGGAGCGGCTCGAAAACTTTGGTGACTAACCTGCTATTTCAATTTTTCAGTGTACCACATGGCAACACCTGCCGGCGCCGGTGGTAAGCGTGACTGCTTTCTAACACCCCAATGGGTCTGGGTTCAATCCCAGTCGAGGTCGGTGGGATTTTTCTGAGGCATAAAAATCTCTGGTCACGTCGTCCTTCGGAAGGAAAGTAAAGCCGTTGGTCCCGGCCCATGTATGTTGTGAATGGGTGCGATATCCTATGCAGGTGTGGAAGCTGCCTCCCTGCACATTCGGTTGCCGTCAATGGATGGCAATCGATGCCCGTCGGTGATTGGCACTAGATTGCGGAACAGAGACCGACGTTAAATAAAGGAAAAAAAAAACATGGCCACACCACTACTACTGGATTGTACCACATGGCAACACTACTACTGGATTGTACTAGCATTTTCACCAAATGTATTATAATGTTTTGGTTCTATCTCTTTCACTCTACTCAAAACTGAAATGCATAAAAAAATCACAAAATGATACACTCTTTGCACACTGTCATAGAATCATTGTACACTAAATTAACTTTGTTCAAATCAAAACAAAAAAACTAACCCAATCTGGTGGATGATGACACAAGCTTCCAAGAAAATTCTATTACAGTGAACCACATTATTTCAATGGATTTCTTCGCCAGTTAGTCGTCTGTCGCTTCTTTTGTGGTATAAGTCAGGATGTCAACTAACTTCAAAAACCTAGAAAACCGGGAATCCTCAGGAAATTCATTTTTTGTTTAAAGTATCTGGAAGGCTCAGAGAATTTAATAATTTTCTTTTCTTAATAGAAAATAAAGAATTTTAAAATACAAGCATTTTATGTTTCTCGTTATTTACATTCACACTTTGAACTTTATAGATCCACAGTGGACTAATATTCAGTAACAAATACATTTAAAAAACAGAGGCTTGAATTGGGTTCTTTAAGCGTATTGAGGTAAATGCATAATCGTAATCTGCATTAAAAATGGAACCCAAAACCAAAATTTCATCAATTTTGGTTCACTGGAACTATTTTAAATAAGCACGATTACATTTACAAAAATCACCTTATTAGCGCCCCTCTGTGTCACTTTGTATAGGTGCGTTCTGTCATAGTTCGAAAACCGCCAACTTAGGCCCATCTGGTGTTTCATTGCGAATAGGGCTCAGAGATAGAGAACGTTTTTTTGATACATAGCGAACGCTAGTTTTGATAACTGTTCAAATTCGAAAAAATAATTTAATTTAATAATTTAATAATTTAATTTAATTATTTTTTTATTAGGATTGGAAGGATAGACACCCTCAGCAGGTTGAGGAATCTTGTTTTTGTTTTAGATGGAAGTCTGTAACCTCGTTACACTAGTTAATTAGATATCTTTGGTTTAGTTTTACAGCGAGAAGTGCACAATGTGTTATGCCTATTTGTCTGTGTTATTACTGTCTTCGACGTATTTAAATTAATACGCTGTATTTTAAATATCACACACTCATACCAGGAAGTGCGCGCCCCTCGAGATCACGCTTGATTTTTGCAGACAAAAATCAACAAGCAAACAACTGCGGTTGATATTGCAAGCTGTGATATTGCAGCTCGGAATATCAAGCTAACAAAACTCACCAGCTGCAAATCTCATCAAACTGTGGTGAGATTGAGTTTCATGATTTTTGCTTTACATCCGAATGCAACCGAAACTGCTTTACCGTCTCTTTCTACGAAAGTGAGGACCAACGGAATCATTTCTGCGTCGATTCAATTCTCAGCTTCAAATTTACACGTTGTGAATAGTCTCGCAATATCAAAGGAACTTGTAAAATCAATATCAAGCATTGTCCGATCACGGACACTGGAGATGGTGTGGCAATCCTCGGCTCGGAGGATTCCAGCTGATTTGGCCAATTCCCCCTGTGGGAATGCCAACAGGAACACAACGAAAAGCTCGACTGAAATTCAATTCAACTCATAGCCCTGAAAAGGACTGTTTTGGCTTCGGCTTGTCCAAAGAGGAAAAACGAGAATGAATTAAAACTTTCAACGGCGCTATATTTCGGTGTTTGCTTTACAAAGCTTGTGGACTGTATAAACGCGACGCGCAAAATGCGTCGCTTTAAATGTGTTTAGCTTTCTTCTTCTTGATTTGCATTCATTCATTTCGCCTTCATTCATAACCAATCAGCACTCGCTGCACGCTCGTTGGTTTGTGGTCGGTCGGTCGCTCGTCGCTCGGTCGGTGCTGCTGCTTGCATGCTCGTGCCAAGCCAGCGGCAGTGTAAGGAAATGATCAAAGCTTGTTTTCAGGGTCTTGATACAAATTACACATGTAGCACATTAGGGTTAGTTTCGGAAACCGATTACCCGCGGTCGCCTCGGGGTTAGTAGAGTTTTAAAGGATTGGGTAAGTGGTTAGGGCGATTACACAAAACAACTACTACTTCTACTTCTACAACACATTACGTTCGCTTCAATCGCGAACATTCTCCCCCCGGGCAAAGAGGAACTTGATGAACAACAGAGGGCTGGGTTGAATCAAAGGGTAAAGGGGCCAACTTCGAGATTGGGCGGCGGAAAATACCATGAGAGGTTTGGACATCTGCAACCCTAACAATTGAATCTGATCCGGGGTAGACCTTCAGAATTCGAGCCAGTTTCCATGCCTGAGGTGGAAGGTTATCTTCCTTCAACAATACTACCATCCCTGGAGTTACATTCTTGGAACCCTTTGTCCA